GCTACTTGCTCTGCTCCCCACTCTATTTCTGGTGAATCCTCTCACTCCTATGGCCTGTACCTCATAAATAAATCTTAAAGAAAATAAATTTGTAACATTGATTGGAATATACAGGTTGATATCAAACCATAATTATATATTATTTTTTTAAATTACAATTACCCAAGTTATAACTTGTAGCAATTTTGTTGAATGCAATGCTAATACCTGGTATGATATCAGTAAATATATATTGGATAAAAAGTAAGACTAAGCCAAAGTAAGACTAAGGATACCAAGAAGATGCTTATTGTGACTCTCATTTGCATGTTTTGATTGAATTGGGCCTAAAATAATGAAGTGGTCCTAGAATAATGATGTGATAATGAAATGTGCTTAACTTTAATTATGAATCTGGCACCCAGTACCTATCATTTTGCACCATTTTTTACCACTCAAGAATGAGTTAATTAATCTAACCCAAACCAAAAAATCATAATGAATAATTTTTCCTAGACAAATTAGAGGGGGTAGTCAGAACTTTAATATGTGTGAGTGATATATGAAACCATGGTTCAATATGAAAAGCCAATGAGGCCATGTTACAAATCCTGTCTACTCAAGATCTCCCCTCCCTTCCTTCCTATAAACAAGGCCAAAGCTACTGGGAATTAAAACTTCTTGTCCAAGGCAATAAACACCAACTACAACTTAAGTAGGTCTTTTCTGTCCATACTCAGGCTTTATTTAGAAATACAAAATGATGGGCCTCTCTGGTAGTACAAGGGGTTAAATCTCAGCACTATGAAGCTCTTTGTACCACTGCAGCACAAGTTCAATCCCCAGCCAGGGAGGTGACCCACATGGCTCAGCAGATTGCGCCTCTCTTCCTGCTGCTCCCCTCAGCAGTGTATTTCAGTCGATCTGCCTATTCTGCTCCCCACTCTGTCTCTGGTGAATCTTCTCCCTTGCCCCTACCCACACTGCACTCCTGGCTTGCACCCCAGTTCTTGTATGTATACATAAATAAGTCTTTTAAAGTAGAAATACAGAATAATTATTTTTTCGAATCAAACAACTTCTTATGTATTTATTTGTAAAGTGAGATTATTATGGACCATGTGCATAGTTGAGTGACCTCATGTGTGAACCGTTTTTCTGTTTACTTTTTATGTCACATTGCAGTTCACAAAAGCTGATGTGCTGTGTCTGTCTCAAGTAAATAGTGAGTGTTCCTGACTTCAAGTATAGTCATATTTTGATTTCTTCCAGTTTTTGTTTATTCGTTTTCACTCTAAACAGAGCCTGTGGAGTTGATTTTCAGGGAGCGTTTCATCTGCAAATAGGTATTAATAGAGGCAAAAGATTTTTTTCAAGTTCAGAAGAATTGTTCAAATTCTCAGAGATTATTTTAATTAAAAATAAGAGCAACTTATCTGTGTAGGAGTCATATTCTCTCTCTCTTCCTAGCAATGGCAGTCAGGATGATCATTTTTATTTATTTATTACTCAGAGCATGTTTTTATCGAGAGTAATAATTAATTTAAATAGCAGCTCAATCTTGGTAGTCATTCTCAGATCCCATGTTAAAACATAAAATAGGAAAAGAGAATTATATTTGGATTTTGTTTAGTTTGAATTTTTCAGTGACTATGAACTGTGACTCAAAAGTCATTTCTTCAAACACAATTTGTGTATCAGTAATAATAAAAATATTTTCTCACAACACAAATTTACTGTATAGCACTCAGCAGCATTAATTTCCCTGAACATTACAGCTTGCAGAAAAAAAAGAAAATCTGAATCAGACTGTGGCTTCAGGAGTCATACCTTTTATTGCCTTGTAAAGTAACAACAGCAACACAGTTCAAAGTGTTCCACTTTGAATCTAAACCTATTGAATTATAAGTCCTATTCTCCAGTGAACAACACCTTCAAAAGAAGCTTTTGAAAAATCCCCTGGGATAGAATGAAAAACAATATAGAGGGGATGTAGTCAAAAGCATGCTGATTACTCTCCCATGGACCTTGGGTTGCTTTTAGCCTCCAAAGGAATGGACTTCAAGCTGCTGTATCATGTTCATTGTCCCTGAGACTATAAATTAGCCTTGCGATCTACAATTGCAAGTAATGAAAATGTTAATAAAGAAGGCTTTTTCCTCAAAGGATTTCCATTAACAAGATTTCTTCAGTTTTGGGGTGGTTTCCAAATTTTGTGGAGCCTTTGAGTGAGAGCCCTCATTGACTAACTTTCCCAGACTCAAGAACGTCTCCTTTTAATTTCTTAAAACGTGAAATGAAATCTAATCTCCTTCTTCTGTATAGTCCTATCATTCAGCCAAAACATAGGTTTTGGTGGTAGCGTTAATACTCAAAATAATTCTATCTAGAAGGAAAATAGCTCATATATGGTCTGTGTTTCCTAAGTGTCAGTTTCTATGCTAAATGCTTTCATGTATTATCTCTTTATAGCCTCATTACAAATTTGTGTTCAGTTCAACATTTTCTCCCATTTTATCAAGTATAAAGAGAAGCCTAGACTCAATCCAGCTGAAGATCATTTCATCAGCAAGCTCTCAAGTCCCCTTTTTTCCTAAACAAATGTGACATTTAGGTGAGAGACAGTGAGTGGCGTGTCAGTGCTTGTCAATGAATCAACTGATCCTGCCCCCTTGCAGAATAGAATCAAATAGCAGAGAAGGGAAAGTGACACATATCATCATACAGGGTATTCATACAGAAAGTGAATGGGAGCGGATGCATATAGTATGCTGAGCTAAATAGACCTTCACTAGACTGGGTACTTTAAGAATGGTAAGATAGGGACTCTTCTTGCCTCCCTGCTGGTGCAGCAGGTTAATGTCCAGCACTATGAAGCTATTCACAGCCACTATAGCACCAGTTCGATCCCAGGACAACGGGGTTGACCCATCACCTCCTCTTAGCAGTGGATAGCAGTACATCTGCCTGTTCTGCTCCCCACTCTGTCTCTGGTGAATCCTCTCAACTCCCCAGCACCTCTGGCCTGCTCCCCAGTTCTTGTATGCATAAATAAATAAATCTTTAAAAGAATGGTAGATAGGATATGGAAGGATAAAGAAAGGAGGAATTCTGAGCCAACAGTCACATTGCAGCATGCATTGCTTATGATTTGTTTTCTTTCCCTTTCCCTGAAGGAAAAAGGGGAAAACTGACCCAAGCAATGTTTTGCTTTATCTCTCTGAGAATAAAAAAAAGTATTTAGATAGTCCAGTACATTTCAAGACCAAATGTCTAGATTTCCACAAAGAATTATTGTATTCTTTTGAAGAGTTAAAAGAAAATGTTGTTTGCTCTGAGTGAAGTCCTGCCATATACCTTGACACCTATTTGGGCCTTATTAAGTATTTGTTGCACAAAAATGAAATAATCTAAAAGTGATGGAAACTAATAATTCTATGGAAAGGAGAAACAACCATTTAGGGATATTTACTCCAGTGCTGAATTTTTTTTTTAACTGTATCATCTGTAAGATAACATTTGTCCACAATGTATATGTATGTGATTTAGGGGTACAAGCTCATACCTCATCTGGTATATGTTATCACATTCACCCTGCGGCACCAGTGATCATCTCCCCTAGCCCATGATCACCCTGGCCCACTGGAACCCTTCCACTCTGTGTCTCCATACCTTGATGGTAGCCTTGATTCTACAGTCAAATTTCTAGGTTTTGTATTGGTTTAGTGTTGCCTGTTCCTTTGTTTATTTCCAGATAGTGAGATATAGTATCATTTCATTTGACATTAATGCCACTTAGTGGTAAAATATGACCAGGCTTTGTTTCATCTTGAATGTATGAAGTATAAATTTGTCTGCCAAATCATAGTTTCAGAACATTACTAGGATGGATAAGGATTTATCAGCCTCTCCAGTCATTAGTATTTCATAGTAGAGACCTGTAGTGTTTTGTGTTTACCAACATGGACACATCATATAATGAATTACATACTCATATTGTTACAGGGTAGCCCAGAGTGGACTGGGCTGCCTGTCTGTGGGGCCTCACCTGCGTGCTCACAAAAGGGTCAATAATGGGTTTATTTACAAAAGGGGAAAGGAATGGGAAGCAACCCAGTGAAAGAGAGCGGGATACAAAGTGATTGCAATACCTTACAGGCTAGGCTGACTGAATGCACCAAGTCACGAGGTCAGGAGAGCTGCTTCCGGAGCCAGAGAGCCAGAGACCATGAGATGCAATCTCGCCCTATTTATCCCCCCAAGTGTCCCAGAATTCCTGCTAGCCCCGCCCTTGGGTCCTCGCAGTTCTCTCCCTGGTACTGCTGGGAGTTGTAGTTTTCAATCACTGGAGTAGGTGTAGGGTCCAGAAAGCTGGAGTAGCAGGTGGAGTCCATTAGACTTCCCCTTAACAATATCATGAGCAATGCTAGTAAATCCAGTGATAATTTGCTGCAGGCTGTAAAATCAATTTGTATCAATGTGTGGGTCTAAACTTGTGTTTTACCCTCAGGTGATTGATATTTCTATTTGTCCCTTTTCCATTATGTCTGTAGTTGTGTTAACACTTGTTAAATATAAGTGTTAAATCAGACAATTAAGGGTATATATTTAGGGTGCTTTAGTGGCCCAAGAGGTTAATTCTCAGCATTATAAGGCTATAGGCAGCCACTGCAGCAAGAGTTTGATCCCCGGCCAGGAAGCTGACCAACATGGCATAGCAGACCCCTCCTTTCTTGCCAACTGCTCCCCTCATTAGTGTATTTCAGTAGATCTGCCTGTTCTGCTCCCAATTCTGTCTCCCCCCGCCCCCACCCTGCATCTCTGGTCTACACCCCAGCTCTAGTATGCATACACACATGAAGTAAATCTTTAAAAAAAAAAAAAGATCCTGTTTACATAGATAACTTTATATAGAGATGATATGGATTAAATAATTGGAAGTAATTTGCAGCCATCTAAATACACTATTATTTATGAGCTATTCACCTACGAATCTGTGCATCTGTTTTTTTATCTTGCAGTTCATTATGCTGACATACCTTTTCATGTTGGCCTGGCTGGGAGTCACGGCTTTTACCTCACTGCCAGTTTACATGTACTTCAATCTGTGGACCATCTGCCGAAATACCACCTTGGTGGAGGGAGCAAATCTCTGCCTGGACCTTCGTCAGTTTGGTAGGTGGCTGTCTGATTGTGAGACAGAACCTCATTTGGTTGTCCTGAAACAGCTGGCCCTGCAATGCTGCCAGTCACTTCATTGCTTGGAAAGGCATCAACATGGCCCCCTCCTAACAGAGCGATGAATATAGCCGATGTTCACTTTGGAGACATTCTTTCTTCAGTTTACAAAGTAGGGGTTCTGGGGTGCTTGGACGCTGTCCTCACGGCATGAACATGAGCACGTGCATGGTGAGCAGGCGATCAGATTTACGTCCTGACCTGGCCAGTTGTAATTGTGATTAACCTATCCAGAGTCCTGGTGCTTTTCCAAATTCAAAGTGCTTTTTGTTTTTCATTCTCTTCTGTTAAAAATTTCACAAATTTTGAAGTCTAATGTGATGGTCACCATGACATATGTACTTTTAAAGTAGGTCAAAAAACTTCACATTGGATATAAACAAATCAGAGATTATTAAATAAATCAGTAGTCCTCTTTCATTAATATTATCTTTTTTGCAGGCTAATGTTTCATGTTTGAGTAACAGTTTGCTTTATGTATATGGACTGACAGTGTGAAGATCCTGTATATGTTGATTTGACTAATTCTCACGGCACCTCTATATGGGAGACACTATTATTATACTCGTTGATAAATGACAGAATGGAGAGGTTAAATAATGTTAGTATAACCCTCCGTTAGGTTATATTAGTTATACTATATCTATACTAAGAAGTTATAGCTAGTAAGTGAGAGAGCCAGAGTTCAAACTGAGGCAATCTAGCTTCAGAGACTGTGCTCTTAATTGTAAATCAGCTCACTCTCCTATTGAAATAGGAACAGAACTTGAGAATGTGCAAAGTTTAATCGCAGCTATCTGCAATTCTAGTTCATCATTTGTAAAAACACTGTAGCTATGAATTTTAAAAGATATGCATATTCACAAGCTCAAATGGACTTTTTTTTTTTCTTGCACTGAGCAGTTATTAAAATTGAACCTCTTAGCATCTGGAACATTCTAAATGTTTTTCTCTATTGAGATTTCTTCATACTTTAAGCCAGTAGGTAACATTTCACTAGCTGATGTCTGAAGGCCTGGTGCCCTGAGGGTATATTAAGGGCACATCACAGGACAGAGAGCACATAACAACTTTGTGACTAGCTTGTGGTGTTTTTCAACATAGAGGTCCATCTGCCATCTTGTCAGAGTCCTCAGGTCCCTATCGTCAGATTCAAATTATAAACAGGACGGTCCATTCTGAGGGTGAAGTTTTTTGTCAAGGAGACAATAGAAAACTATGAGCAGCTCTTGCACTGGGGAGAGGTATGTTTGCATGGACATTTTTACATGGACATGATTCCGAGGTTCAAACCAAGAGGTTTCTCTTGCCTGGATGAGGAAAATAATAGCAACTGTGTACATACTATGTATTATTTTCTGTAAAGATTTTCTTATTTCAGTCACAGCCATTTCTTCCAAAGTCATGAGTGTATTGCTTTTCTTTAGCCAACCTAAACTAGAAAGAAAAGCTGTAGACTAAGCCTACAGGACACCTCTGCTGTACCAAGTGCTGCCGCTATCCCTCTCTGCAGTATGCTGTGGCTCATTCTCTTGTGCAATACTTGCTGGGATTTTTTTTGACAATAACATTTTTTATTTTTTAAGCAGTTGAGAATTGTTTACTTTTTCGCTTGCCCTTAAAGAACTTGCTCTCAAGTTCTTTAAGACGAGAGGCCATTGTATATGAAATCATTAAAACCCAGGAAGTCAATGATGTGTTACTGACTCTTAGTGCAAGTACAATTCAGACAAGGTGCAGAAATCAATATAATGACAAATAATCCAAGAAATAAAGAAAAGGTCGGGTTTCAGCTACCCCTTGAAGAAAGGGAAGACTTGTTAGCCCAGTAGTTCTTGACCACCAGCATTACTTCTTACCCCAGCAGACTTCAGACACATTT